TTCTATGATGAGAATTGACCATTTTCACCATGCTCAAAGGTTTATACAAAGTGCTTTGTATACAGGCTCTCATTTGAGCTTCAGAATAATAAGCTTTTCACAGATAGCTATGATTATCATTCCTGTTTCATAAATGTGGAAAGTGAGATCCCCTAGCACAGGGGCAGGGAACCTGCAGCCTCGAGGCCACAGGTAAACCCGCTAGGTCCTCAAGTGTGGCCTTCTGACTGAGTCCAAATTTTACAGAACAAATCGTTTTATCAAGTGGATAAACTATTCAATCCCACAAACAATGATTAATGTGGGCTATGTGAAGAAGTAGTGTGGCATACAGTGGAAAGAGCCTGAGCCTCTGACTCATGAAGATCCGGGTTCATAACTTTCATCTGAAAGATACTGGATATGTGACTGGGTGAGTCATTTAACTTGACGGTGACTCCAGATAACTGTCTGAAGTTCAAAGGTGCTGACCTGCATTGGGAGAGCGAGTTCTTCACTAGGAGTTCCCTACAATGATAATAACACAAGTCTGGCAGAAATAAAAAACGTGCAAAACAACAAATGTGGATTTGTTGTGGAATACAAAGCTGGGACCAGGTGGACGGGATGGGATGGGGTGGGGGGACAGAGACAGACAACTCTTGTCTTCAAGGAGTCTGCAGTCTATGTTAAAAATTATGAATCTGATTTGGCTCCAACACATCGGTGTTCTCTAGGATTGGAGCTTAAGCCACTCCATCTCGACTCTCAAAAGGGCAATCAACTCTCTCTGGAATGGCATCTCATTTGGCTCCTCAACAGACACTACCACCAAATGTTCACCCTCAATCGTAAGGAAACTCAGTTTGAGAACACTTGGAAGCCTTATCTGTCTGTCTTCTGAAAGGAATGTCATGAAGACCACGACACTACAGGAACAGTGGGGATGGAAAGGGTACTCCAGTCAGAAAGGTTCTGAATTTCGTTCTGAGGTAAAGTCCCATCTCCCTCCTAGCTCTAAAGCTAGTATTATACCATCCTAAGGTCACTGTCTCAAATGTGCCCATCTCAGATATATTTTAAAGCCACCTAACAAGATGCCTGTTAGCACTTTATTGCTTGCTCCCCTCCAATGCACACACAGGTCGTGTAAGACACATTTGCCCCCATAATCATTACCCAATCCCTTCCTGGAAATACTTGGGAACTGATATTGGTAGGGCCAGTATCTTGATGTAGAACCTCTCCGTGGGCCCTGCAGAAGTCTACAGGTCTTTGGAAGGAGGGGGGTGGGGAAAGAGAGGAACAGATGCTTGACGCTGTTTTTTCCTGTTCTCCCAATGTTCCAAGGTACCATTGGAAGCCTGCGATTGTTAATATCCTTTACACCTTTAATAGAAAATAGTAAGAAAAGCACTTTGCTCTGCAGGGTTCCCTTGACAATTCCTACTTCCAGTGCATTTTGTTTAATAAGTATATAGAATTTTTTTTGGATTAGCCTAACTACATGCTTTAGCTTAATGGGTTATTTCAGTAACAGCAATCTACTGTATCACAATAAAATAAAATGGTGACAGGCCAGCTTATCCTCCATCAGGCACACGGTACACAGGAAAGCTTGGTGGTGCTATTTAAATATGCTTCTCCTCCCCAGGGAAGGTACGTAGCCATACAGGGCATTTGTTAAAGAGGTAAACCAGAAGTTTCGGCAGAACTGTGGGATTTCATTTACTGATTGGTACAAGGGAAAGGAGGGTAGAGCAGAACGGATGGGGGATGGAGGTGGGAAAAGTGGAAATCTGTCTTCCAATAACCAAATAGATTTGGCTTCTGCGTATGTGATTTGTATAAAAGAGCTCTTATTCTGGGCTGGTTTGGGGCCCGACCAGATGGAATGTAGGGCATCATGGGATATGTCATTTATCACTGTGACAGTGCGTAGGCAGCGGTGATCCTCTCACAACGGGGGTGGGGGTGAGGGGAGCTAGTGCTGCAAATGTGGAGTGGCATTACAGCCGGACTAGTGGAGTTTGGCAACAATTGGACAGATTCTCATTAACTTAATCATATTAATTTATTAGCCATATATATCAAAGTAATTCACTCAAGAATTGTCACAAGGAACAATTTATAACTGTTAACAATCCCCACAGGAGAGAAGGATGGCAGCTATCCTGAAGAATGGCTTTATCCTTGCTGGAAAGAAAAACCATAATCAGATCTTGGAATGTCAATGGTCATCAGCTGGTTCTTCTCCCACCATCCTTCCCTGCAACTCAATCACAGAGGATAAAACTTACCGTGAGAGCAATAATAATAGCAGTTAGAGCTCATACTCATTTGGCACTTTAAGGCTTGCAAAGCATTTTATGATGGCTGATAATCTGGAAATACATTTGTCCTTCAAAATCTATTAGATTATTGCAAGGAAATCTTGTCTTCTACACACTAAAGTCTGATGTCTCTGTTTTAAGGTCCAGTCTAACCATGGTGAGTTCATACGTGATCCTGCAGGCTGACAGCATCCAAAAAGCATGATTCTTGTGAGATTTTGAAACCAATCAAATGTATTTCTTTTCTGAGGTCACAGTTCCTCCAGTCTCCACCTTGGTTGATCCAGAAAACAAAATGGACAATAAGCCATGTAAAAGGCAAGCCATGTTATGATGGAACTCATTGAGCAGAAATCTGCTGACAGCAAAGGAGGAGGAGTGGGGAATTTAGGTGAAACTATAATTTACATGGGAAGAGGCACTGATGGGATGGGCCCCTTGAACAAGATCGGCAGCACATGACTTGAAATGCCTCAGATACAACTACTACAATCAAAGGAGTTCCTGTTATCACAATGATCTCTTTAGACTTTTTCCTTGGTAAGACAAAGTTGAAATTCCAGTTTAAAAATTATTCCCACAGCAAACTGAAAACCAGTAGTAATGTGGGCAGAGCCTGGACCATGCTCAACCAATTGACTCTTACTGGGCATTCAAGAAGTGATAGGGAGTTAAGGAAGATGTGCAGAGGTATCCAATGACCCACTGCTGATGAATATCAAATGAGGAACTTAACTACTCACTGCTACCTGGACACTGTCCACAAAAACAACTGGTTAAAGTCAACCCTCACCTTGGTCTGGTTTTTTGGTTTTGGTTTTTCCCCCTCAAATGGTACCATCTTTTACTTCTGTATATTCATGAAGTAGTGGCCTATGACCTCTACTGCCCTCTCATGAACAAAGAGATGAACTGGACAGTTACACAAAATGCACAATGGACTGATGGTGATTCCAATGAAGGTACTAGACTGACTAACCTCCCAGACACACAGTTAGTGGATTAGATAGACATATGTTGGCTCCATTACAGTGTCGTAGAAGGTAGCTGACCGTCTTGACCGTTTTACCATAATACTTAGAGAAAATTCCAGCATTTAAAAAAACCCTGCTACTTTTCGAGGGAAATTGCATGGAGTAAACACTAAAGGAACTTAAATCTCAAGTACGTATTACCTCCCTTTACGGCTTCAGCTGAAATTTCTCTCTGGTCAAATTATACATGTCTCTGTGACGTACCTTTCTGATATGAATTAATGAAAAATCAGAATATATATGTACATGTAAATGATGTTTTGTTCCTTTCTACGAATAGGACAAAAAGCTAGAGATGTTTCACAATAGGGTTCCTATGGGGCCTGCTTTAATGAATAAATGTTCATTATTTATAATTTGTATTTTGCTTGTATGCAGACGGGGCTGCTCAGGTGACGTTTTAAATACCTAATTTTTTCCCATAAGTACTTTAAAAATTCCTGGAATTCTTATTTATACTTTTAATTTTATGGCACCTGCCCTTTCATAGGTAGTACATTAGATTTCCATTAAAATCCCAAGCCTGACATGAAGGTGACACTGGGTTTTTGTACTGACTCTGGCAAAGCCAAGCAAGCTCAGAAGCCTTTGCCTCTAGGCCTGGTAATAGAGGGACTGGACATCTGTTGGCTGAGTATGGGCAGAGCTCAGCCCAGGAAGGATGGTCACCACAGCAGCTCTCAAGCACCATCTACTAAGGCAGAATGTCATCGGGCTGGACATTGGGAAAGGGAGAGTGCACACCAACAATTATTACAGATACATGAAGTACTGAACAAGTAATGGCTGCAAAATCCAGTTAGCTCTTGTGTGATGAACACAAATTCTGAATTAGTCGAGTACGAATTACATGAGACTTCACTGGATAAAGACAATTACTGGGGAGGTTGGATGGCCCTTTGGTGGAGTTGTCACATAACGCCATTCTTGTTAGAATGGGCTCTGTTAGGTGGCCTTGGAGGTCCCTTTCTCTACGAGTTATTTTGTTATCAAGGTAGTATAGCAAAATGCTGAGTTATTTTGTCACGAAGGCAGGATGACAGCTATTATCTACCGGGGTGGCCCTCCCCTATTGATGCTACCGTCCCTTTTCTTGACAGTATAAGAACCACAATGCATCATTACGTATTATGACCACATGCATTTTTTTCCTTACCTTTCCTCATCACGAGCACTCTTCTGGCTAGGATGGATATGATTAGGCATTCCAAACATACACCTCATTGCTTTCATGACCCACATATATATATTCCTTCACCCCATAGAAACAAAGAGACAGTTACTTGATCACACAGCTGAAATGTGAAGCTGCATACTACAGGAGATTTTAAGACAATGATCCATATAGCCAGTGTTTCTCCCCTCTCAGTCCCCTTCACCACCACCCCCTTCCCCAACTCAGCTCCCACCAAAGTATTTAATGGGATTTCCTATAAGGAAATGACAATTAATAAAGAACTGAATTGCCAATACATTAGATTTTAGTCACTGCAGCAACACAACAGTTTTCATGAATACTCAAAAAAATTCAATAATGTAACCTCTACTAAAGCTTGGAAAGCCCTGAAGGACAAAGCATTTAGATCAATATTAGTTTATTTCAACTGCAGTTCAGGAGAAGAATCACGGCTGATCATCTGATGGATTTTCTTACCTGTTGGTGAGATAAGTCCTGGCGATATCAGGCCTGGGACGCCATGAGGCAGAAGGCGTGCATTTTCTTGGATGGCCACTCCCAGGGAACGTTTGGGGGGTCTTCCAGGCCTCGAACTGTGAAAACACAATAAAGAAGGCAGTTCAGAACACATTCTCTCTTTCAGTAACACCTTTACCCACTCTGATAGCCTTTGAAATCATGCTTAATTGCTGAGTCTGATAGGATTTTCTATTTAAAAAAAGGAAAACATTTTCAGCCATTACAAAAGAAACCCTTTTCAGAAGAAAGATGTTCCTCATTATGGCAAACACTGATGCCATCAGAGCACAATTTCCAGGTCAGCTTATGGGAACAGATAAGCATCGTGCAACATGGATAACTAGGGGAGATAACTCTAGCTATAAACCCAAAGTTAACCACCCCTAGAAGACTACCTGGTGACTTTTGAATGAATGCTAATCAGGAAGACGAGAGAGATTTCAGAAGACAGGATCTACATGACACTTTAGGTCTTTCCTCATCGTCCCAAAGATCAATGGTAGGAAATTGCATCTGTCCAGCAGACAGATGCTGGGCAGAATTTGCCACAATACTGAGAGCCAATGATGAACAACAGACTGCCTCCGAATTTTTTTTTTAAATTTCTACTAGCACCTCAGCAATCAGACTGAAGAGCAGTACCCTTGGTTGGAGTAGCAGCTGCAATATAAGTCATGAGCTTTTCAAATCTTGGTTCCCTTTGCTCACAGCATGATTGGTGTTCTTGACTGCTGTCTAAGGGTTACCTGAACCCATCAAATTGAGACACCCTTCATCCTAGTCTAAACAGCTTATGAAGTGCAGGCACAAATTGTAATCCCTAATGTAGCTAAGTAAAAGGTTTTGTATCTGCTGCATCCATCCACTGTTCTAACGCAGCTGGCGTACCTGACACGTCATTTGGGAGTTGTCACCACAATGAGGAGATTTATAAGTCATATAACATTAGAATCAAGTTGTTTTGATGCCACCAAACAGACAGAAAATATGACTTTCTAATGTTTGCAAAGATATTGCTGTTGCTTTTTGGTAGGAAGGCATTTTGCAAAGCTGAATAATAGGGCCTGTGACAAAACACTGTGCAATAGCATATTAAATAACCCGCTGCAAGAAATGTATGGGGTTCAGATGGAGAACATTTCCAAAAATGACTTAAGTTAAAGCTCACTCGATCAACTTTGCAGCCACAAAGCTCTCCATCAATGTGAGACAAACTCTGCTTTTCAATGAAGACAACTTCCAGCAACCTTCCACAGAGGTACCATTACCCAGTTCATTTTTCATATGCTATGCTAGTGTTATTTTCTTTCATTGTACATCAATATTGTGCATCAATCCAACACAAAAGATTCAGGTGTGGATGGGTTTTTTCTATTTATGTCTACAATTCTATCCACCAGTTCCCCTCCCTTCCTTGTATATTTGACTTTGGGATTGTGAGAAAGCCAAACCTCCCTTTGGAAATTACCTTAAATCAACTTTGGATATATTTTATACTTAATTTTCTATATCTATATTGCTTCCCTCCCCCCCCCAAGAAAATATAAGCTCCTTCAGGGAAAAGGGTGTTTTATTTTTGCCTTTGTATCCTTACCACTTAGCACAGTGCTTGGCACATAGTAGGGAAAGAGGAATAAACATGTATATAGCGCCTACTATATGCCAGGCACTGCGCTAAGTGCTTTACAAATATCTCATCTGAGCCTCATAACAACCCTGAGAGTCGCAGGTACTTTTATTATCCTCATTTTACAGTTGAGGAAACTGAGGCACACAGTAAAACGTCTTGCTCAGGGTCACAGGGTCACACACCAAATGGATGTCTATGGTTAGATTTGAACTCAAGGCTTCCTAACTCCAGGCCCAATGCTCTCCCTACTGCACCACCTAGATGCCTCTAAAGTAGGCATTTACTAACTAGTTAGTGAATGAATGGATGGTAATTTATCTTCCCGGTTTCTGGGCTTGGCAGGATGCTGAGTTCTTGACTCTTTCTGAAGCGCACTTTCCAAGACCTATCCCAGCGTGGCCATTATCCTAACATAAAATGTTCTAAGGAGTTTTGGGGTCAACCTTCTTTCTGGCCACACTGTCTCTATGACAGAAACTCTTTGGCGCTATGTCCTCACCAGTGCAAAGGCTCTCCCGTAGTCCTGCTTCCATGAACTAAGCCGCTACATGTTCCCTTTACTTCCACATGAAGTGGGAGTTCAACATGCTCGGTACCAAAATTTTGGGCGTATCCCAAAGTTGGGAAGCACTGCTATCCTAATAGGCCCCAGAGCCTAGGAAGCGTCAAGCAGACCACAGAAGCTTTCACCTAGGGACTACACCTTCTGTTCTCAAAGGTTATTGATGGTTTCTACTACCATATCTGGATTACAGAATGAGTAATTGCTAAACAGTAATTCACTAATAGACCTTCCTCTTCACCTCCTCCTCCCAATAATTAATCAATTGACTTGAAGTTTGAAATGTGTAAACCTGGGATCTCTTTATAAGGTGCGAATCTCTTTGAATCTTGGCTTGGGCGTGTGCCTAAAATAACACTCAGTTCATTAATGAGCTCATACCAGGGGCATTCAGCCCCTGGAGAGAGAAGCAAGTTTCTCCCTCTCTCCCCTTCCCTGAATCAGCTGCAGGGAGTATGAACACTTATGGGCTGGCAGAGAACATGCTCTATGGACTCTTTAAAGGCATGGATACTCACAGCCCAGCAGAGAACTACATAACTACAGAAAACTTTGTGGAACCTCCTAAAAGAGAGAAATGGACCGGTGCTGGGCCATAGGAGGGACCCTACGGCCACCCATGTTCCCTACACATGTGCTGCTGTACCTTTGGACTTTAAGTAGGAGCCTAATCTCCCCAGGACTTTTTGTTCAGGTGGAGAGTACGCCCCAGGCTCGAAGGAAATGCTTTGGGTCAACTGTTTTCATGATACCACCTAAGCAAATGCCTTCTTCTAAAAACCACTTACTGACAATCCACAGGAAGCCCTCCAGTGGTGGCTCATTAGAAAGCCCAGCCCCTGGGAGTTATCCCTAAGACCCTGGGGAAGAATTATTCAGCAATCAACCTGGAACCCAGCCAGTCAAAGCAAGAAGGAAGTAGAGAAATGGCTGCAGAGGGAATGCTACCTGTCTATTACATATCTGCATATAATATGGCACGTTCAAATTAATTTTACTGTTATGAAAACTTTAAGTTAGTCCTTAAGAGGATATTATTCTCTTAGAGGAAAAGGACTGAGTTCTTGATCCCTCTCCTTAACCAGAAGAAAGTCTTGGAATCTTTAAAAGGTCAGAAGACTGGGACTCCCTGTCAGTGACCATGACCATAACGGTGGCCTGAGGACAAGCCAGAGCAGCAAGCAAAGTCAGTTTTAGGACTCTGTAAGAGTACCAATCCTTGGAACCTAGCAGAGACTGATACCTAAGCGGAACTTCAGGAGGAAAAGACTCTGATGCTCCCCCCACCAACGCAGATCACAACCTACGACTTCCATTGATGGTCTTCAAGGGTTTGTCTCCGAGTCTGGCTGACATACTGATACCCAGTACATTAGTGGACACATACTCAACGCCCTTCCACCTTGGTGGGGCCTTCTAGGTCCTACGTTGCTGTGGCACACCCTTCAGGAGCCTAGGATCACACTCGGTCACTAAAGCACCAATACCAATGTTCCTCCTCCTGAGGAAACTCTCAAACAGTGTGCTGCTTCCAAACTCCCTAAACCCCAGGTCAGTTGCTATACTTCTTCCTGCAGAGCACATACACTCAATGCTCAAGGAAGAATCTGGAGAAAGTTGAGAAAGTGGTAAATGATCCTGTCCCAGCATCTGTATCGGAAAGAAGTTTACTAGAAACAGATCAAAATTTACATATTAATCAAGACAAATAAACATGTGGTGATTTAACGAGTAAACTGTTATTTGGATGACAATTTAATCAGCACAGGTTGAAAGGGCCATCACTGCAGCATCCTGTTTCTGCTAAAATATTGACTGAATTACTGATTTCAGTAATGCTTTATTTTACAGGGCACAAATAACCATGTAATTACTCTTTAATTGAATGGTAATTGCTTGTTGGCAATTATTTGTTAAGTTTTCAGTTTAATTACAAGGTCATTTGTGCTCTGTAAAATGAAGAGATGTCTTTTTTTTTTCTTTTTAAAGTTATCTGCCCAAATGGCTGCATGAGCATGGAAAAAGAAAGTTATACAAGGCGCAAGGTAAAGAGCCCCATAATAATACTGAGCCTGGCACAAAACAGTTCAGACCAATTCGACTGCTTCAGCTTTTGCAGAGTTACCATTAGATAGCACATTCTGAAGACAAATGGAGAGATGCTATACCACAGGAGCTTGATTTCCTCTGGGGTCCAGACCACCATTTAATACAATCTACCTGGATGGTTTACTTTCATTCAATGTGCTTTAGAGGTACTGAAATAGTAACACAACCTCCTGGGACTAAAAAATAAACCAACTCAAAATATATTTCAGTAGTCTCTTCATATTTCTGCAACAGAAGTGGATTACCACCACTGCATTATCTCAGTAGCCCATAAACTCCGTTGAGTTGACAGTCATTAAATAACAGAGGGAAGTATGTCTTCTAATGTCAATGAGCAATGACACAGTCTGTGATATACCTATTCCACTTGGTGACAGATGAGGGATACCACACTTTGATGGTTAAGATTTGGAAATTTCATGTCCACACTTTTTATTGTGTCCTTGACCATTTATGAATCAGGGAGGTGAAGAGTTTGTTGTTTCAAAAAAAAAAAAAAGAGAGATAGCCACTAAATAAATCAATGATCGATTTCCCAAGCCTTCCAGCCATTTAATCTAAAACATAACGGTCAACATTTGATTTAGGAAGGAATCACACATAATGCCATTTTCTTCAAAGGCACTGGGTCTTATTACACTTAACAGGAAAATTTCCTCTGACTTTGGGAAGGAGGGAGTACATTGCTGGCAATGTGGGTGTCGCAGAAAGGATGTTAGCAGCTATTTGGCCAACCCAGAACAGCTGGATCCCTGGACCAACAAACACTGGCT